AACAAGAAGAGGCTAAAGAAGGTTTTGTGAGCAGCTTGCTTAAAAACCACATTAAGCTACACAGGAGGTCTGTTTAAAATTACTTTGTTTAGCAAAAAGCAACAATTAGAATTCAAAACAGTTTGGCTGGTAACATCTAAAACTAATTTCCTAGCTGAGAATTCATGGCAATATCTGTATTATATTGCAGACCTAAACCCAAACATTGGTCAAAAAATCCTGGAAAGGTCTGGATATATGTTAGTATGTGATCCTTGCCTAGTTTCTTTGAACTATCTGAACTTTTCCACCTTTTATCTTCAGGAGAAACTGTGAAAGTAGCCTTGTGGTTATGCTTGGCCATGAAATTATGTTTCTAGGACTGGAAAGTCCCATAACTCTCTTATGCAAACTCTTCTTTAGCTGCCCTATGTAATGACAGAATGTATGCTTGGAAACATCACAAATTTGAGTACGTGGGCTTTCTTTCCAATCACTCCTTTCTCGCAGATACGGCCTCTGTATTTATGTGGGCTGTGGCTGCCTTGCAAAAGCTACGCTTGCCCTGGTGCCCACGAGGTCCAGCAAGCACAATTCTCTCTGAGCAGGGTCACAGCAGGGTTTCTGTTCTACTCACAGCTTGTGCAACTCATTTATTCCCTGACTTCGGTTACTCTGATCCTATTATGTCCTAGCTGCATTTTTCACACTGTCTGCCTATAAAGCATGGATTAATTTAAGCTGATAATTTTGATCTATAAAGCATTTAACAGCATAAAGCTTGGCTGTTTGAAGATCATCTTCAGCCTTCACCTTCTGGGTATCTGTGGTCAGCCACGGTTCACTGTGTAATGCTTCCCACCCTCTCGCTCTAAATTAGGGATGTGTACTTGTATTTACTAGAGTGCAACCTTTGTTTCTCACCTGTTTAAAAAAACCTTTTCAGTTTCAGTATGTAAGGGAATTTGACTAGTAACAACAGCTCCATAAATTTTTTCTCTTCTGTGAAGCCATGTTTGTCAAGAATCCAACAAATGCTGTTTCAGTAATAATCTTGGTAGTAAACGTACAGTTGTTCTGTGGTCATGTAGGGCACTGTGCCTTTGGAGAGGGTGTGGACAGTGAGCCTTCTTCACCAGCACAAGAAAATATATGACAGAAGCTCTTTTCTGGATGTTTTTAAGTACAAAACCCCATTTGGGGAAAGCATTTTTTATTTTAAACATTTGTATTCTAATTCTTCAGAATAACTGTGCATTTAAAGCATGAACCTTCAACTGCCATGTATATATCAGACTAGGTGACTTCTAGGACATGAGTTGAGATCTGCTCTTCCACTGCAGCATCATCCAATAAATTGGTGAGACACATGATGCACCTTTCCCAAGAAGGCAATTTAGGGTCCTGTTTGCCAACTTGAAGGCTGAACTGAGAGTTCAAAGCTAACTCCCAATACTTGAGAAGGAAGAGCTGCTTCGCACTGGACCTTAGGAGAATGAGAGTCTTTCCACACCCATCTTCTCATCTGAAGACACTGGTCCTGTCAGCTCTCTCTTGCCCAAATGTGCCCATGAAAACATGTGTGTTAGGCCAGACAACTCGGCACTCTTACTGAAGCCACACACAAGGTGTTTGTGGGGACTGTGTCTGATGAAGAGGCCGAGTTAAAACAGCTGGAGATACAGGATGCACAGAGCACGAGGAAATGTTTCTGTCCAAAGAATATCCCATCCAAACAAAGCATTTCCTAAGGCTGGTTTGGGTGACAGAATGACAGAAAGAGCTTATTTTGATAATGGAAATGTTCCACGTAGCCATCTTCCTGCTCAGTCTTTTCTGTACCAGCATACTATCACATGACCTAAGTCCAGCAGTTTAATTATGTTTTAGGGGTATCTCTCTGAACTTTTACTGCATTGCTTATAAATATGCTGTGGGTTTAGACTTTTTTTAGGGTTGCTATCATCTGCTCTCTAGGCTGATCAGTTCCCTCTGATTCGCTCTACTTCCAATCTTATACCATAGCACTGTTCTCATTATTTCAGGTGAGAAGGTAATTATTGTAAAATGCTTTTATGGTGTTCTCAGTGTAGTAATTTATGCCTTTCCTTTTGGCATCATAATCTTTATGGTCTGAAATTTTTCTCTGCTCCCATGTCCTCCCTGACTCCAGAGAAGATGCTGATAATGCCAAACCCAGGGAGTATGTTCTGCGTGGCTTTACATTTTGTTTCTTATACTCAGCTTTATTTCTTTACTGGCCTCAGCTATGTCTCTTCCTTGCCACTTCAGAAAAGGTTTTTGGGTTTGTGCTCTCCTCTTACCCTAAACCCTTGTTACTGCAATCTGTGGAACCCCACTAGTGACAGGTCCCCAGTCTGAGGTCACCCCATTCACTGTCACCCTTTGTACCCAACCCGTGAGCCAGCTGCTCACCCATCACATGATGTGTTTATCCAGCTGTGAGCTGGACATCTTGTGCAGGACATCATGAGAGACAGCACTGAAAGCTTTACTGAAACACAAAAATCTCATTGTATCAGCTGGCTCCCCTTGATAAACCACTTGGGTTACCTTGTCACAAAAGGAAATCAGGTTTGATGAGCAGGACTTTCCTCTGAAGAGGTTGTGCTGGCTGTGCCCAGTCACTGCATTGTACAGAAAGCATGTTCTTCTCTCTCCAAAAGCAGCATTGTACTGCTGGGTGCAGTTTCAAAGTCACAGACACACTCAGCTTTCTCTCTTTGAACTGACTGAGAGTGCCATCCCACTCTCCTGCATTCTGGGGTGAAAGAGCAGCCCAGCACAGAGATGCTGCAGCCTGTGGCATGTGAAACACGACTTGCAAACTTCTGCTCCAGAGCACTTCACAGTGTAATCAGATCAAACACTGTAGTTCCTTCCACACAGATCTTTGCTGACTGAAGCAGCAGAGCAGTACTAAGCAGGTGAGCATGCACATCACTGCTTAACAAAAAGCAGGTTCTTCCCATTCTATGCTATGAAGAGATGATCATCACACGGTCCAATTTGATATTCTTATGCCTTAAATACAAAGTCCTTGGTGCAGCTGATGCACAAATAAATTTCTATCTAAGACTTACTTCTGAACTAAAAGAGTAAAGACTTTCAAGGCAGAAAATGTTTTGTTTTGTTACACATTTCCGCAGTGTGAAAGAAGATAGGGCCCTGACCCAGAGTGTGAAGTTTAATTTAGCATTATGTGTTTGGTTAAAGTAACACTTATTAATCAGACCTATTTGGCAGAAAGGATTCTTGTGCATCGCTCCAATCCAAGGTATAAACAGGGGTAAATAGGCACATCTCAGGAACACAGGACTTCCTCTCAACCAGAATCAAACATGACCCTGTTATTCTCAGGTGATGGAAGACAAACTAGAATTGTTGTCAGCCCAGCCACTGGAGCCACTTCTCTCTGTCTTGGTACCACACACACACTCTGGACATTAGAGTGACTGAGATATTCTTGTAACAAAATAGCTTTATGCACCCACTTAAAAATACATAAAATGGAAAAGAAAGTAGAGTGCTTTGGCCTTGGGCAAGGTGAAATACCAGAAATGTAATGAGTTAAATTACTGTCCAGGCTTGTGTGGAAGTGCTAAACCTCTTCATAACACAAGGTTCTTACACAAACACCATTTATTCCAATAGGACACACACTGCTAAATAAATGAGTCACTATGAATGAATCAGATGGAGTTGGAACAAAGTAGAAGCTTTTTAAAAGCTCAAAACATATTGGGCAATAACTAAAATGCCTACATTTATTCAGAGTACTGGGTAAGAATGAATTTATGCCACCGTGTAAAAATGATTTTTTGTATCTTAATACTTATAGCCAAATAATAATTTTGATTATCACTAACAGATGAGACAGGAAGATGTGAAAAGGGAATATGGTAAGAAAAGCTAAGATCATGATATTGTTTACTTTGGGAAAAGAGAAAAGCAGTATTTTATTGCAGTTATAGCAACAACTACAGCCAAGGATTAGCTGTGCTCATTTTGAAACTGCATTTTGTGCAAACAGCAATTATGACAATTCTTTCATTAGATAGATGGTAAATGAATGGCTAGGAAATTCTCAAAACAGAAATTCAAGAAGCACCATTTAAACTTTTTTTTTTTTTTTTTAAATTAAGCATTACAGAAAATGGAACAGACCATTCTGCCTTCCTCTAACCATTCTGATAATTTTGTTAAATAAAAGAGGGAATATTCAATTTAATGTGTGCAAAAGCTAATATTTACATTGTTCAGTACATAGAGGCAGGATCACATTAAGAGAAACTGGAAGAGGGCGAGAATAAACTGTTCTTAGGGTCCAGCGTAGACAGAACAAATATTAATGAGATTAAAGTGTAGTAATGTAGTCAGGTAAGATTTTAGGAAAAAAAATCTTTGTAATGATAGAGCCAGTGAGGCATGGGAAGGGATAGCACAGGCAAGGCATGAAACTACCATCCCTGGGAAAGATTAACTCAATTTCCACCGATGTTTATTTACAGCTGAACTGCTCTGGGACAGACTACAACTACCTCTTCAAGTCCTCTCCAGACCTGTTTTTTAACAGTTTTAATGAAGCAATTGTTAATGATCTCGCCTCACAATAAAAGGTTTTGTCACTTGGCATTGTAAGGGACATGATGATTGCTGAAACAATTCCTGCTGTAGAGAAATCAGGACAGAAAGAGATTAAACAGATTTCTCCTTGAAGTGAACTGCTATTTTGTATTTTATTCCCCACTAAATATATGAGTTTGAGAGAAACCAAATGGACTGCACATATAGAGAGCAGGCACTGGATAAAGGCAGGCTTTGAGACCATCAGAATGTAATGGTCCCATGATGCAGGGACTTGCTAACTAGTATTACCTTGGAAAAGAAGTGTGCACAAGAGAGGGAGCTGGAAATTTGGAGTATACCTTCAGGTTATACAGTTGACAGAAAATTACTGTTTCCAAGAATTTTTAATTTAATTATTTCTTTTGTTGCAGTCCTTGCATTAACAGACCAGCTGGATCTCCTGCATGGGATATCATCACTGCCTTCATGAAGGATAACTTCTTCCACATTGCCATATACACACATCTGCTAAAGACAGGGTCCTGCAGCTGCTTGCTGCCCGCTGTGGCTCATGGGCTGTGTAACTTGAGCAGCATTCCTCGAGCACCATGCCCACCCTAAACTCCCAGCAGCTGGAACAGCTGTGTGAAGTGCAGCCTTAGATTACTACAGACATCTTTAAGAAATTAAAAAGCTGAATCTCCAGTCTCTATCATTTCACCTACTTTTAATAGAATTGCTCCTCAGCCACCTTGTCTTTGGGGTATATCTACTTTATCATTAACTCAGTCACGTTACAGGTTTTACAGGTAATACTGCTGGAAATATTGTTTTGCCACACCTGTGCAATAAACTGAAAAAAAACAAAGTGACAAATGTATTAAAAGAATTAAAAGTTAAGTCAGAATAAAGTCAAAAAGACACTTTTCTACCATTTGCCCACAATGTGCAGCACAGGCTGCATCACACACTGAAAGTCCCGACAATCAAAGTCTTGAAAACCCTCTCTCCCTCCCTTCCCATGAAAGTTTGGACTTATTCCCAAATACTTTAAAAAGAATTGGTCTAGCATAAGATCACAACTAGCAAAGTTCTGCCAATCCTTCTATCAATTAACTATTGTGGATGATCTTCCCATTTTCTTATTAATACTAGGATTTAGTCCACAGATTTGCCAATTACAAACCTCAGCATTTGCTCTCAGAACCAGTCTTAGCCCAAAACCCCAGAGACTAAATATTCCAGGCTCCTTAAAGTAAGCATGGAAGAAGCAAGTTAGAATCTAGTGAAAAACTTAAAGTTTAAATTTTGTCTTATTTTTTTTTCCTTTGTGATACAGGCATTTAACATCCAAAACTCATCTGTAAGCAATCAAAACCACAGGTAAAACACAAGAACAAAGGATTTACCTAGTGAGTCATCAAAGTGCTTTATTTTATAAAGCCTTGCTCATGTTTGGAGTGTAATCTAAGCACTAACATACACAATAATGAGTCTTCCTTGCCCTGTCCAAATAAACGGTTTATCAACAAGAGTGAGTGACAAAAATGCTACACAGACAAAAAGAATGCTTTGCTGTAAATGTCGAAAATGGTCTAAAAATGTACACTTGTTGGCCGCAATTAAATATGTACTCCAAGTACCTTATTTTTACTCCAGAGTCTCCCTGTGGCCTCATACCTTCAGAAGCTTCAGAAAACGAAACTTGGGTGAGAACGTAGACAACCAGGGTGTTTAGGGAGAGGACAAAAAAAAAAATAAAAATCAAGCCACAGTACCAACTTATTTAAATACAATACAAAAGTATACACATACATTACAGTGCTGCAGACATCACTAAGTCAAACATAACAAAAAACCCTGTGGGAAAGGTCGGGGAAAGGAAGCAAAATTAGTACACAGCAACAGGGATAGTATTGCCTTTGGCCACTGAAGAGAGTGTAATTAAGGGGTTGCTGTTGTAGGGGCTCCTCTGAAGTGAACCACAACGTAGGTTATGCACAGTTACAGGCTGAGCAGCACTGACATTAGTTATGGAGAAGGCATGCTGGCACTCCTGATCCCAGTTAGAAATTATGAGAGGGAGGTTTGACTTCTCTTACGTTGCCTACAAAATCTAACAATTTCAATAAAGAAATTTTAAAGGCACAGCTTTAGCACAGTGTATAAGTAGATAAACTTTTAAGCATATGTAAATTTGTTTCTTTCAAGCATGGAGTCTTTCAGGGAAAAATACAAGAGGAGAAGGAATACAATGTTGTTTAAAAATTTTAAACAAGTTAAACATGATCAGCACAGTTTCAGGCAATGTACTATACAATCAAAATTGAGTAAATGGTAGGACAGGTCATTTTGATGCTGAAAGACAACCTTGGGAAAAATCCCTCCGAAATATCCTTTCGCATTTTATTGTAAAAGAGTCTATCATGGAGGTGAGCGAGACATTCACTTTAGTACACTACTGCACATTACCTCTTGGAAGATGACAAACATTACTTCATTTGTACTGCAAAATAACTTTACATGTAAACTCAAAAGTCTTATATTGTACACGGCTCTGAAATTCAGAAATATCCCTGCTTTCCTAATAATGTAAACAGTAAAATTCAGGGTTCATTATTCAAGGGATAATCTATAATAAAATACCGCTATTTCAACAGTACAACATAAGCATTTAAACTTCAAATTCCCAGTAAATTACAAGGGAATGGAATTTCTATCAGTGTGCACATCTTTCAGGATGGGTAGAAGATGGAGCTACTATTGCCCAAAACTATGCGCTTCTTCAGATAAGCATTTCTTACACTTGTAACATTATTAGCTCCTATATTGCAAGAGTATAAAACAAATGAAAACTTCAGGTAACAAAGAGAAATAAGCAAAGTTTTCCCTTAATGTAAGTTTACTATAGCAAAAATGTACACATAGCATGAATTATGTTAGCTCTTTGTAAGTTAAGAGATGCCAGCTCTCAGATGTCTGAGAGGCTGAACTTCCTGATGCAATGTGCTGAAAAAGAAGACAAAAAATGGGAGAGAGAAGAAAGAAAAGGAAAAAACCAAACTGCTAGGAACCAAAAGGGAAAAGCCTCCAGCACCAAGGGCTGTTGCAGCTGTGTTTTTAAGGAGTGCCAGTGTGCAGGGTGTAAGTGTAACATTCGCAGTAAGGTCTTCAATATTATCACCATCATCATCATCATGAAGAATACTGTCATGTATCTTTTTTCAAAAAATAAACCGATCCACAGTTTACAATTTGATATCAATATTGTAAATTTAACATGCATTTACTCTTTCCCACCCCCACCCCACGCCTCTTTGCTCATTTATTCCATTTCAGCTGGTAGCATCAGAGTATTACTGTCACAGTGCACTCTGAGTAAGCTGTTCTATTTATTTAAATTATTTTAATTCTTTTTTTTTTGCACACACAAAAGAGTCAGAAATAGCTAGAACTATGCTGGGAATATCAGGCAGCTGTTAAAGCGAGTACTCCACCCCACTTCAGTCATCTTTGCCAGCAGATGTAAACAAAGGGGTTGCTTTCTGTAAGATGAGTGCTTCTCTGAGTTCCTTTCTTTCCCTACACTTGTAGCCACTGCTGCTGTCCCCAGGTCTTGTGTCTGTCCTATGTAACATGATAGGTTACGTCAAGATGTTGGCAATAAAGTCCAAGAAGCGCTTTGAATACTGTTCTGGATTAACAGTTGAAATTTCTGCACCAGCCTATACAGAGAATTGGGAGGAGAGAAGAAAGAAGGAAGAACCAGTATTTTATTTGATGCTTTTGTGATGGAGGATGTTAATAAATTTCATGTGCAGTTTCAGAACCAGAGACTAGAAACACAAATTGTAATGGCCCTCAAGTAGAATCTTACTGGTGCCTTTTTAGGCTTCACAGGAGGACACTGATAGTCAGTACTCACCCCTGTAATAACTATCTTCCATTTCTGAAAAAATTTCTTTTTACTTTCCATGTTTCTCTTTACTTTTGTTGTACTTCAGTCTCCTGTATGAATTTTTACAGCACATTAGCCATGCGACCCATTGATTCACCAGCAGATTCTGGTTTCTTGAGCAGCACTCAAGAGACACGTACAGAGAAGACTGAACTGCCATACTTAGATCTGGCACGTCAACAGTTGTGTAACAGGTATTGTTACCTGAATGCTACATAGCCTAGTTTGAAATACATGGTAAGAGCAACACTTTTTCAACATTTACGCATTTAAATCTGCACTCACTGAATAAGCCATAAAATTGTTATTTCAATGAAGTCATGATTTCATTCATATTTTTACTGGAGTTTTTCAGAGCCTTACCCACATTTTTATTTATATTTTTCCTGTTTTACAAAAGAGGAAAGATGCATGCATACAATTAACAAATGAACTTCAATATCATGTGGCTCAGGATGGAGACAGAGAAATAAACAAAATAGATGTATGAAAGTAATGTTCTGTAATAAGTTCTAATCACAATCAGCTTCAATAATCACAGCGATTACTCACAACATATTTCTGTTATTTAAGCCAGAAGTGTGAGTTTTTAAAGTCTGCTACTTTCAAAGTTCAGTAATAATTGCCAGATAATGGCTGCATATGGTCTGTATCAACTTTCAGCTGTCCAGAAAGCAGAGTAATGAGAGCATTGCTTTATAGAGACAAAAAAAATTACCTCCTACAGGCCAGGTCACATCATTCTCTACTGTAACTAAAAAGTCCAGAGCCCTTTGCCTAAAATTTCCCACAATGCCCTGACCCTTTAGATACTTAGACACAGGAGGGATTTTAGCCTCATGAATTAATATGCTCTTTTTAAGAAGTTTATGAAATTTGAATGTTAAATCACCATAGGAGTGATAATAGTAGATATAAATCATAAATCTGGAAGACTGGGCTGTTTCACCACAGTTCTTTGGTGTCTGCTGCTAAGCAGCAATTTCAGTCAAAATGAAATAATGGCAGTCAAACAGAAGCTTTCACCGAACAGTCTCTGAGTATTTAATATATAAATTATATTTTTATGCCTGATTTTGTAAATTGTACTTTTTTTTCCCTGAAGAAGTCTTCTAGAGTGAGCCACATTATATGCTGAAGAACTAGCTTTCAGCAGACTGTACCAAATAATGAAACCATCATTAGGGCCCTGCATCCAAAATTAGATTCATGACAGCTTTCATAGAGTGGTGAACAGCTTTGTTTGCAAGAATAAGGCACATCTCACAAATTTAGGACAAAGTCTTAAAAAGCATCTCACTAGAGCTCTTTCTGTGTGAGAAAGCTGTGCACACAGCTGAAAAAAGAGTTCCACTCTCAGTATGTAATGTATAGCAGTTACTCTACATTTTTATTGCACATCAAACTTGAAAAAAATCAAAAAAATTCTGATCTAATTCGCCTTTCCCTAGATTTACTGAACAGTCCCATATCAGGGCACTAAACAAAAATGCATGAATATAAAGGGAGTAAGAGGAAGAAACCAAGCCAGATACTTACCCCATGCTTTACCGTTTTTGCAGCATGGGCAGCTTTCTTTTTTGCATCATAATGAGTAAGAATGTCAATAATGGCCATGAAGTACACTTCCTTCCTGGGCGCATCTGCCAACGGCAAACACAGGGCAGTAAGGACTTCTGACACATCTTAACAACGAATCCTCCTTCTAACAAAGGAGACTCAAGTAAGACTCAATCAGCAGCTAAGACACATGTTATGTCAGTCATAACCAAGATGTGTAAAAATCACACGCTCAAGCTGTTTTTAATTGAGAGTTTAACAGCAGTCATATATAATGCAAAACCCCCTAAATGAGTGTAAAATAAAAAACCAGCATGCAGAAGTAGGAATTATTGCTCAGTTAAAGTAATGTGGATTTCATCTTTATGGAAAAACTAAGAAGTTCTATATAAAAAGTAATGCTTCTGTGTCAACAAACAGAATCACAGAATGAACTGAGTTGGAAAAGACCTTTGAGATCATCAAGTCCAAACTATGACCTAACACCTCCTCATCAAAACTAAAACTGAGTGCCCCGTCCAGTCCATTTTTAAGCATGTCTAGGGATGGTGACTCCACCATGTCCTTGGGGCAGATGATTCCAGTGCCCAATCACTCTTTAAGTGAAGAATTTTTTCCTGACATCTAACCTAAACTTCCCCTTGTGTAGCTTAATATCATATTTTCTTTATGAATAAAACCATGTATTTATCCATGTCAATGCTTACAAACAAAAAGAAAAGGTAACTTTCCCATCTTGAACAGCCAGAGGTACCTAGTTATACTTAATTTTACACACTAACATTAAACTCAGTTTCAGGCTTCTTACACACTCCTTATGATGACTTTCTTAGCTGCAACACAGAATGTGGGTATGAGTGCATAAATTTTCAAAAAGTAATCAAAAAAATGAAATATAACTTGGAATGCTTCTTGTCTCATTCTTTTTAGGCAGTGTTTAACAGTGTTATCTACCAGAAAAAACCAATTATAGATACTAGACTTCCCAAAAGGGATGAAAACCCCATGAATTAACCGCTGGAGAACTGGTGAACTGGAATAGCCAAGCATTATAGAAATCTTCTCCTTTCTGCTGCACCAAAGAGCAAATTTCCTTTTCCACAGAGTGAACTTCTGTTTTTCAATTTACATTTGCCTTTACATGTTTGTGAGGACTCTAGAAGTCTGATGCAAGAATCAAACCACCTTAACATAAAAATATTTCTTACTGCTTACTTTCATGGGATTT